TAAATGGTGTTTAATTGAATGACATAGTTAATTTTTGAATTTGAGGGGTGGGCGGGCTGGGGTGACATCTCGCCAGCCCACCCAAGGGTAGTTTTGAAAATTAAGGGTTGAAATAAGTCATACAAATCCATACAATATTTACCCCATATTTTGATATGGAGTAAGCTGGTGAGACGTATGTATTATAACCTATTATCGCCACAACGCCGGAAAATACCGCCCGTATAATAATAATAAAATTTTAGTACGGTACGACGATCCATTAAGCGAACGAAAAAAATTAATATCGGCAAGGCAAATTAATATCTTTAGTATTTTAAGAAATTTGGGAGGGGTCCAGACCTCTTGGACTCCCCCACAGATACGGCCTTGCCGATATTAATTCCAATTGATTTTGATGCTAAAGCACCGATTTTTGTGATAGATTCGTTCGCTCACGCGTGCTCGAAATACATTTTTTTTTTTTTTTTGTTATAATAAAGTATCGAAGTAAACCGAAAAATCACCTCTAGTTATTAAATTCCAAAATATTTATGGACATATACTGTGTTTGATCAATTGCAATTCACCCTTACATACGAATGCGGTGTGTTTATAATATTATTAGTATGAGGTGATATTTTCTTAAGCTGTCAATTGAATCGAATCAAAGACATTAAATAATATTATTATGTTGTCCGTAGGAAATGTGGAAAATAGTAATTCAACGATGGCCAATGAGTTACGATATAATGCAGTGGCTGTTTTCTCGTGATGATCTGTGGTGGAATTTATACGAATCCATATTTCCGACGATCGTTTTCTTTTTGTTATTTTACTTTCATGCATCGTTATCATTATTTTGAACGTTTTGTGAAACATTCTTTTTTTCTATTATTTTTATACCAATAATTGAAAATATATTTTACCTGCTGTGATAAATTCGCATGAAAAACGTCAAATAACTCGTTTTACTTCTGAATACATCTGTCGACGAATCGGTGCTGTGCAACGTATAACCGAATACAACCAGAACACCACAAGTTGCAAGGTAAGTTCCTCAGTTTCGTCGCTATCGTGTAATTTACGAATTCAAGTTGTATGAATATATAACATTATATTACATACAACGGACTAAGTGTTGAAATACTTTTAAAGTGTACTTATCGATGTGACAGTTCGCGAAGAAATTGAGTTGTCGTAGCCAATTAAATGTATGGTAATATCATTATAGTATACACATTCACGAAAACACATTTGACAGCTATTTAGTGTCGGTAGTTATCAAAATCGTCTCAATTAAATACATAACTTCATAAAGTTTAAACAAATTGTATTGTCCGTGCTATGTTTCTTAGAGGAGACAAATATTTCGCAGATAACAATGACTGTTTACTACGCAGCAGACTTGGGTAGTATTCGGAATACTTTTTAAGTATTCCGGATATTTTTTAAAGTGTTTTATGGTATTTTGAATACTTTTTACAAGTATTCTGAATGCTTTTTTAACGTCCAATCACATTTTAAAAACTATTTCATTCTTTTTCCATCGTAGAAACTGCATTTATATAAATTAATGTGTATTTCTGTACAAAATATTTTATCGAAGATTTTCGAAGATTTACATTAAGTTTTGTCTCGGCGCTCGGACCTCTCACTCATACAACGCGGTTAATGTGGAGTGCCAGAGAGACAGAGCTAAAAACTGCAGTTTTACGAATCTCATTTTTCGTTCGCTTAGTACCATACTATAATTTTATTATTATACGGGCGGTACTTTTCGGCGTTGTGGCGATAACAGGTTATCATAATAGTAACAACAACAGCTACGTACGGCGCACCGCACGCTATATCTATACACCTGTACTATAATATAAAATTATTTGTACTTATGTATGTTTGTTCGGATTTAACTAGAAATTTAACTGGTTCAAAAATAAATCAAAAGTGGATCTTTAATTAGAGCAAGAAATAACACATTTTTTGTCAATAAGTCCTACAAAAAATCTAAATATATTGATTGAAATGCCCACATTTATAAAAGTATTTTTAATATTTAACACACAACTTCCTAGTAGTGCTGCTGTGGAACGCATATTTAGCATTGGTGGTGTTATTTTATCAAAAAAAAAAAAAAAGAGGTAAAATGAATGATAAAAATGTTTAAAATGTATTAATGTTAAAGTATAATAACCATTCATTAAGTATTAATTCATTATTTTTTTTCCATTTTTTTCTTTTTATATATAAATAATAAATATACAGTATTAATTAATATTAAAAAATATATTTATCTATTATCACAATGTTGTCAATATTATATTTTATTATTATTATTATTATTTAAGCCACGGCAACTTGACCATTGGCTTAAAGTAGTCGACTATTGAATATTGTATTACTTTTTATAATGATATTAATTATATTATAATTCACTATTATTACTATTAATTTATAGTTTTTTATTAGTTTTATTTATTGTGTTTTATCAAAGTTATATTTTTTATTATTAATATTTATTGTTATTATTCAATCAGTATCAATTGACAATTTGGCATTAGCATAAAGGAGTTGTATAATATTAATAATTATATTAGTTTAATGTTAATTATTTATTTTTTTTAAGTTTATAAAGTATGTTGATGAAATAAACGGTTTACAAGCATTATATTGATTGATATTGTATTATAAACATTTTTTTTATTATTGAAATCTAAATCTACTAAAGAAAAGTATTTGAAAAATATTTAGAATATTTTTTGTGAAGTATTCCGAATACATGGGAATATTTTTATCATAAAGTATTTTATGCAAGTATGCTACACAGTAAATCTACCAATAAATACTTAAAATATTTTATTCTTACAATAATTGTAAGAATTATTTTTTAAAATTAATTAATTTAATAAAAAATATTTTGATGCCAACTAGAGAAAATACATTTGATGTTTACACGCATACTATTACTGTTGGTGTTTTTTTAAATTCTTAAACAAGAAAACGATTTACCTATACATGTAATATGGTAAACATTAAACTTTAATAAATTAATAATAATTATAATTATAATTAATAACATATAATATTGAGTAGCGTAATAATCGTTAATAACAATAATCGTAAATAATCGTATTAGAATAGGTTATAATGTTATGATGATATGTATTGTTTAGTTTAGAACAATTCGGTTATTATTTTAAACAAATTATTACAATATAAATATATATATATATATATATATATATACGTGTGTGTATGTATGTTTATAAATAATATGTTGATATATATCGATTAATAATAATAAATTACTTTAGTAAAAGAGAGATAAAATATGGTATTTTCATTTGATCGTTAAAAAAATCGTTTAAATAATGAAATAATAATTTGTTACAATTATACGATCTAAACATAAAAATAAAGGGTATAACTTTAAAGCAATGCTAATCCAATAGATAAGACGAAAATGGACGCAGACGAGGAAACGAACCACGAAGTAGAGCGTGCTGTGCAAGTTAAAACGTATTTGTATATGAGTCTGTGTATAATGGTTTTGGAGTAGAGCAGTGCACGTCAGACAAATTGTGTACAGCCGTTGTAAAAGGAAGCGTTTATCTGTATGAAAAAGGATTCAGACTTGTTCGAGGGAAATATATTGTAAGAAAATCGTGAGACTAGCAATACTATATGGCTAAGTTACTGAAATTGTATATAATAAAACACGGCAGTGTAGTGGATCTTTTTTGATTTTTTTACATTGTGAACGGATTTCACAAAATATTTTTACGGAATATTATTTAATACTTTGTTATTATTCTTTTTTATTATTATCTTTTTTATTTATTTTTACTGGATCTTATTGAAAACAAAAAAAAATCAATTTATAATATTGATTTCTCATATATTGTTTTTACATTATTACAATCACATATATGATTGCAATACACTCTGTAGTAGTCTATTCACTTTTATGGTTTGTTTGTTTATTAAATATGTTATACACGCTCATTAATGTTAATTTGTATGTATTCTTTAAGCCGTTAACAATTAAATAAAACAATAATTATTTATGTTGTTAAAAGACCGTGTCAATAAATGTTTAAGCATTTATTAAACAATCTATAATTTTATATATTAAGGACGGTAGAAAAGCCTTTTTAAATATACTAATTTGCATATTTCAGTTTTTTTTACTACAAATGAGGGTTCTTATACAGATATCGAGTAGATAGTACTTGAACATTAATTTTCATGAAATTATCGTGTAACTCAAGTGGTCATGTCAAAAAATGACAAGCTTCATTACTTTACGGGGTTTCTATAAAAAAGTATTAATATTAATAATATGTACATTTTTTTTTTTTTTTTTTTTTTTTGTTTTGATGTTACCAATTACTTCTGTGAAAATAATAACAAGGAAAGTAATAACACTTGTATAATATCGTACGCATTTGATATTTATGCACTACTAAATAATATAGTCAAATTGGATTTCTTAAAATCAAGCTAAAAATAATTAATTGTTTTGGATATTTTATACACTTTAACTATGCTGATTGAGTATATATTTATTTACATATATTAGAAGATTCAATTTTTTTTAAATACATTTTTTAATTGGTAAAATTTTGAAACATTCAATCCTTTCAATCACATTGTGTATTTGGCAAGATTAAGGTTGTGTTAGTAAAATTCATAAAAAAATAAAAATCTAAATATCATTTAAGGTAAACAAATACAAGAAACAATAAAATAAATATAAAATAAATAAAATATATTCGCATAATAATTTGATTGAGGAAACTTGAAAAATTAGTATCGAGTAGTTATGTACATATATACATGTGTGTATATACTAATATAACTTTGAAATAAAAATAAAGTTAAACGCTTTGGCACGCGTGTGCCAACCAAAATCATAGTATTATTGGAGTACGGTGCATGCATACCCGTGTATTACGTTATACTTTATTACATAATTGATCATTTACCGTGTGCAAACGTGTTTGCCGTAGGAAATAAGCATGAGGATCGAGAAGAAAATCGTGATCGTCGGTGACGGCGAGAGCGGTAAAACGTGCCTGTTACACGTGTTCTTCGAGGACGTCTACCCAGACGTGTACATGCCAACGGTGTTCGACACCTTCTGGACCGACATCGAAGTGGACGGGAAAACGGTGTACCTGACGATCTGGGACACGGCCGGCCAAGAAGACTACGACCGGCTGCGACCGCTCTCATACCCCGACTCGGACGCGGTGATTGTGTGCTATTCGATTGACACGCCGAAATCGTTGATCAACGTGATCGATAAATGGGTACCGGAGGTGCGGTACTTCTGTCCGGCAGTGCCAATCGTGTTGGTGGGCAACAAGAAGGACCTGCGAGACAAGTGCTTTTCGGGCGGAAATCTTATCGCGATGGAAGCCGTCGTCGAGTCGACGACCACGGTCACGGTCGAAAGTGATGACATGGGATGTCAGTGCGAACGCGTGCCCTCGACGGACTGCGACGACGACAACGCCAAGAAGGATACGTGTGAAGCGGGAAAGAACGCAGTATCATCAAGAATCACGGGTAACGGCGTTGTATCATCCATTACGATGAACACATCGGCAGAAACCGGCACTACCGTCAAGGTCCGGGCACCGATGCTGAGCACGGACGCGGGCAGAACGGTCGCCAACGAGATCGGAGCTTTCGCGTTCGTCGAGTGTTCGGCGATGACCCGGGACGGCGTTCAAGACGTGTTCAGAGCCGCAGTGAAGGCCATGCGACGCGAGCACAAACACGGTCAGTGCGTTTTGCTTTAATAAAGTCGAGTTTGTCGTTGTACGTTTCGTTTTATAATTGTATGATTTAATTTATCTGGATTATAAATAAAATCATTCGATTTTCCTAATTGTAAATTGAATATTGAAATTATATTAGAACTATTGTTCGGAAGTTATAGGAGTTGCATATTGTTCTATATGTTCTCAATTTATAGCAGACTAAGCTAGAAATATGAGCTATATAATGTTAAGTTGAAAAATTGAAAACTAAAAATGCATATTTTGCATATTTCGTTTATTTTAGAGAAAAGGTGCATATTTCGTCAATTTTCATTGAATTTCACATATTTTTATGCATATTTAATATTTTTTATAAAAATTAATTTTTTTCATTCTTCATCAATTTATTTTAAATAACGTTACATAACACAACGCTAATAACGCGGAAAACGTGCATCATATAAAATTCAATATTATTTTTCGTGGTTATTTATTGTTATTTTTTATTGTCTACAATAAATATAAGAGGAGGTCAACGTAGTAGTAGAACGGAATCAATGCTCAATAAAACGCGCTGTTAGGTTTTTTCACGCAGCGCATGCATGTATTTTAGCTACGACCATACTACAGCACCACAACCATGCACGAGTCGGTGTGGCGGAGTGTTTTATGGCATTTATTCTTTTATAGAGTGTTGATTGTCGAGCATCTAATCTATTATTTCATTCTCATATTATTTTAAACATATTTTGATAAGAGATGTAAAGCAGACATGAAATAATAAATACATAAATCTATATACATCGCAATTACATTTACAATCACAATTTGTGCTATGTACATCGTCCTTTTATATATTTTCGAAAATAACAGAGTGCTTATAATTAACAATTTTTTTTATGAAGTACCTAACTGGTTCATGTTCACAATACCAGTAAAAATAAATAAAAACATATTTATGAAATTTATTTATTTATTATTATACATATATCAGATATGATAAAATGATAAGTAAATATAAATATTAGTAGAGATAAATTATTTGGTGTTACGGACATACATAAATGTAGGTCCTTGCAATCAGAGGCGTTCTCAGGAATTTTTATTGAGGGAGGGGGGATATGAATATTTATTCAAAGGTGAGCCGTGGGGGCCAAGCCCCCCCCCACCCCCTTATTTTTAAATAAAAACAACATACATTAAATTAGACAATATTTTATTTTTTATTAATATTATGTTTTATTAATTTTAAATTTACAAAATGATATCAAGTTTTTTTGATTTTTGAGACATCACATCAAGAACTTCTTTAGCATCAATTGGGATTTCTCTATGGACAGCCAACAATGTTAAGCCGTTAAGACGATTCTAAGAATGACATCAAATTATGAAAAATATGATATAAAGTATAAACTAGTTATAATATTTATAAAATATGTTTTTCTTACTTCAGTCATTGAGTTTCTTAAATATGTTTTTAATCGTTTCATACATGAAAATGATCTCTCGGGAGTGGATGTAGATACTGGTATATTACATAATATTTTTAACAGTTGATGGATATTTGGGAAAATTGATTGTCTACATAAACGTAAAGCATCTATGGCTGCCTTAGGATTTTTATTATCTGCTTTCAGTTTTGACTGCCATATTCTTAATTCAGCAATTACTATCTGAATGTCTGAGTCCAGATAAAATTTTACAAGTTAAAAAAAAGGTCATGGGGGGGATCCATCCCCCATATCCCCTCCGTGAGAACGCCCATGCTTGCAATTACCAATACATAAGGAAGTCCACATAAATAGCATTGGGGCTTTCATTATAATATATATTATTAAATTCGCAATTACAAGTTGTGATTGGTTTTTAAAACAGCATCGTTATCTTCGTTTAAATGACAAATTGGAATCTGTGAAAATGAAATGTTTATTAAAAATATTAGGTACTATTGTTACATGTATATTACTATTCCTGCATTGATAGCATCGAGTATATCAGAAAAATTCCTAGCTGAAAAAGGGCATTTTATTTTAATAAAAATATGTATTGCAGAATTGTATGTTCTATACTATAGAACAGGAGTGGGCAATTGTCGGCCCGCAGGCCGTATCATTCGTGTCGTGTTGTCGCGTGTGTTGAATTTATTATTTCCATGTATATGTTACGGGCAAAGTATACAATTTGGGCATTTTATAAAATGCCCGGCATAGGCGTGCGTAGGGGGTATGCAATTGCATACCCTAAACATAGAGCCTTCTTTCTAAAATTACAAAAAATAAATAAAAATTATGACATATTTGGTCTTATGTATATTATGTGATTTTTATTATATTTTTATATTCAGTCCCAGACAGTTTAATTTATTTTTGAAACAAATCATACTGTAGTGATCGTTGTGCAGGACACTACGATCGGTACCACATTAATTATTTAACGACGTAGCACGTTGTATGTAATCTTGAGACGTGGGTTGAGAGAGATAGGTAGGTGAATAAATTTAACACTGGTATATTAAACTTATATACTTACTGTTTTTATTAATTTATCACAATAAATTAACAAACAGTTAAAAACACAAAAAAATTAAAATAACAAGTTATTCTGGGCTAAGAATTATATACTCGCGGCGATGTGGCTGTAACAAAGTCCACGACGAGCAATAATTTATTAATACGGAAAATGGCCAGTATAACACTGTCTATTAGAACTACCTATCTACATCTGAATAATGCTAAATGCTCAACCCGTATTTATACAGGTTCCAATGACGTAAAAGTGGCCTAATTCTAATATTACTTTATTTTGCCCTCTAGCTTTATTATGTTAAGACGTGAAAACTACTTGTTGTTTTCACCTTTACCCTGGGTTTTCTGCGTATTTGCAAATTTATTAATATGTATAGTAAATTACTATATTATCTATATTATACGTGTACTATTTTAATCTATTATATAACAAAATATTATTTTGATTATTCAATTTAGCTAAACCTTGGCGAATTTACTAATATGTATAATAAGTTATTTTTGATTATTAAATATTGATTATTAAATACTGATTATAAAATACGCCTAGCCTTGGGCTTACTACATCTCTCCCCTCTAAGCTGAAAGTCTCTGACTTTCCCAAAAAAAAATAAAATAAGATAATTAATAAAATAATTAGAATAATGACTAGCTAACCCCTTATGATTTAGTAAAAAGTTTTGATTTGGGATACATAAATGAGGTTTCCTTACTCTCTTCCTTTGGAGTTAATGCTAAATCTTCCACGTTTGGTGCTGTGGCTTCCATGGAGTGTTCTTCTATGTTAACTTTAGTCCATTTGTCATTACTGCACAGTATCGTACATTTTAACGTACGGATCGGATTTCAATTCGAAAAAATCCACGCGACTCGTACCTATAAAAATTTTAAATAAGCTTTATATAATCAGAAATACTTGATATATCATTCCATGTGTCATCATCACTTGATTCTGGCATTGGTGTAGATGGTGATGATAGTGACGCTCCTGCAGTTATGTCATGTAGTCTATATTTCGATTGAATATTCTGTATCTCCCTCCCCTTGGGCTTTAATGCTGCTTATAGTTTTAAGTTTACGCAAACTCGCAGCTACATAACTTCCGAACTTATCCATTTCGTCTTATTGTATATGTATAATACGTCTATACAATGCACGATTGAACGACTAGGGCTTTTAGACTACTCTATACGATAAAATACTTTAACAGTTGGTGGGTACGAAAATTAAAAATATAAGTATTATTTTAATTTCTATAACTATAAATTAAACTTATTTGATTTTCTTATTTTTTATAGTAGGTACAATTTACAAAAATAAAACACAGTTATAATATTTAATGCAAACCTACTACAGGTTTCTTTATGATACTTACTATAGTAAATTTATCTTAAGAAAGAAAATAACATGCATAAAATTAGTATTTACAAACAACGCTGCTTCACCTATCACTAAGAATGACCTATGATGGAAGAGAATCTCTAAAATAGTTTAAATAATAAACATTAAATCAAAATAAAATAACATAACAAATATCTTAAACAAATAAGAATTAAGACATTAATCAGTGTTAATTTAAATAATATGAATATATTTGCTATTTATAATTTTTTTTCTTTAATTATAAAATACTACTAGTAATGAATAGTTATTTTTTTATTAGTAATTTAAGATAATTGTCATTTTTACAATTTTTCAAATATTTATTTTAGTAGCTATTCGTACAATTTTTATCTTATTATTGGATAACTATCGTAGCATTTTTTATTTATCAAGCTTTTTTCGGTAGTTATTCTTAATAATGAAATATGACGCATTATTTTTTACGAGACTTCCACTTACATAATCCACATAAGCACAAAGCTCAACCTCGCTTCGTTAACGGGATGATAAGACGTAATAGAAATAAAAACAAATAATTTGATAAATACGAAAAGGCTATTTATTGACAAAATGTAACTCATACAATACACGATCTACGGACAGTTACAATTCCATTGCAAACGTTCTTACGCAGCGTTACCTTCACGGGCGGCTCATAGTCGACGCGATCTTATACAAAATGTCGGCCTCGGCCACCAGGAAAACGGCCTGCGCGCCCAGGTGCGAGCAGAGCACGTTGACCGAAGTCAACAGCGGCCGGTAGTACGTCATCATGTTGGTCGCGAACTCCTTGACCGTGGCCAAGTGGCCAGCGCGGCCCAGCAGCAAGGGCACAGGCGCGTCCGGCTGCAGCGACCGGTAGAGATACCGTACGAGCTTCCGGTTCTTAATAACACGATCGAAGTGGTCGTCGTAGTTGCCCCACAGTCGTCCGTTCTCGTCCAACACCGTCGGCGGGTAGTACCACGTGCCGCGATTGACCGTACCGGCTAAGTGGATGTTATCGCGGAGCATGTTCACGGCGGCCACAGCCTCGGCGCTTTCTGGCGTCCACGTGGCCATGACGAAGAAAAAATGGCCGCGTTGCTCTGCTCGCCCGTCGGTTGTGGTGTGTTGGTGGTAAATCGTACGCGTATCGTTGAGCAGTAATTTCAGTTTGCATGTGAACAAAAGGAACGGCGAACGATACGAAACAGACAAACGTTATAGTAATCCTTTCGAGCCGAGTAGATAAAAATCTCGAACGGTCCGTTATCGACGTCTGATAAAAATCCCTTTTCCCTACTCCTCGCGCAATTACGATCACCGTGGAGGATCGTAAATCTTTGTAAGTCATCGATGTGCTATTATTAAGCGCATTTGTACCAACCATTTTGTTCTAACTTTTTTTTCTCTTCTTAATCACATGATGCTCCGCGAAAAAAATTCAATATTGCGATAAAAAAAAAAATGTAAGATAACATTTTCAACGGGTTATTGCGTTGAATTTTCACGTTGGAAAGTAAGATAACTCAAAAGGTTTATCGGATCAATGATCCGTGCGCTGTAATAACAACATTTTCTCTATTGTATAATTTAAATAAATTCCAGAGGCGTTGTCTTTTTATTAGAACCTGGTTTACACTTTAGTAAGATTCGTCCATGGATGTAACTATCGCAGTAATATACTACATGTACATCAAATTAAAATTGCAAATATATTATTCCGAGACGTATAGGGCAATTAGTAAATCGGCATCGGTATTCGATTTGTCATATTTTATACTTTAATTACCACCGTACATATTATACCTACATTGTAACTCTACTTAAAAATATTTTGGATTAAAATAAGGCTAAATAACAAGAAAAAAATCGAAAATCTATCTACAATCACTTTATTGTAATCATAAATATTATAATATGGGTAAAATTGTATTTTTTTTTTACATCGAAATCATATTAAGGTTGACAGAATGTTTGTGATAGTACTTTAATGTGGCTAAAACATACTCCAAAGCACGGTTAAAGATATACAGATTAGCTGTCGCTGACGCGCCACTCGGTCAGATTGTGTTACCATTCAGTAGTTCATATTTTCATCACACACGTAGGGCGCTAGTAGTAAGTAGGGTCATATTTTACTATTAAAACATCGTATCATCGGTACATTCCTAGTTGCTACATAATAGAATATTAAAATTTATATGATCATAAATTTAATATAACTTATAAGTAAAAAATATATTTATTCTAATATTAATATGTCGATTAATTATATTAATATTACATTATTAGTTATTTATTATTATAAGCTATAATAAAATGTATTATACAAAATAAATAGGCCACAACGTATTTACTGTTTTGTGCATCCATTTTATCTGAAACAAAAATGATTCAAATTAATATTTATCAGGTTGTTAGTTTCAAATTATTATTTTTAACCATCACTACAACAGTCATCAACCGCCAATCAAGAAACTACAAAAGCATATAAAATTAAAATGCAAACTGGTGATAAATTTTATTAAATAATGCAATAAATAATAAAAGAAAAATAATAATTATAAGCATACCCATGCTGTTTTATAAATAATAACAATAAATGAACAAGAATATTACAAAATATTTAATAATTATATATAGATAGTTGATAATAATATATAAGCAGTTATAAAACAATTTTAAGTAGAGACCAATTTAGCAATTTTCTTCTTCTCTCTGCTATTTTTTTTTTTCTTTTTGATTGTCTTGTACAGCAAAGTGTCGCATTCGCATGATTAAATAATTAGTTAAAATAGATGAAACGAATTAGCTTTTTTGTTCATTACAAGGGAATGAAATAGGAAAATTTAGAACATCATCTACAGTGAGATCAAATACATATTTATATTGGAAATGTGTAGCAAAACTTTCTTCAACTTTAGTTAAAAAATGAAATAAATGTATGTTGGGATGAGGTAGGCCTCCTTTTGATTTTAAGTTAACCAATTCTGCTTCAGGAATATCTATATATTTCTGGTTATTTTTTAATGCATTCCAGCAAAGAATGCAAGATATATTTTTAATATATCTCATGAGATATGGACTGACATGCAACAGTAAGAAGTGTAAGATTGGTTCCATCGAAATCTCCTTCCTAGGGCATCTTGTTAACTCTGAGGGCATCCACAAACAACCGAAAAAGTTAAAGTGTATAAAAAACTTTCCGGTATCAAAAAAAAGTTAAGGACTTGCGTAAGTTTTTAGGCGTGCGCAATTTGTATTGTCAGTTTGTGAATAACTATGCTAACATCATTGCCCCCTTAACAGACCGACTTAAACAGGGAGCGAAAAGGTTATGGGCGGATGTCGAACAGAAAGCTTTTGACTGTGTCAAAAGTGCCTTGTACGACTCACCTAAATTATCCCCACCCGATTACACCGAGCCTTTCTGTCTCCAGACTGATGCTAGTAAAATAGGTGCCGGCGAGGTACTTTTCCAAAAGGGTGACAGACCGGTGGAAAGACGCGTCATCGCTTACGCAAACAAAAAGTTCTCGGACACCTAGAAGCGATACGCCGCCATAGAACGCAAGTGCTTGGCAATTATATGGACCGCGGACAAATTTAGACCATACCTTGAAGCGCGACCGTTTAAGCTATTCACAGATAACGCAGCACTAACTTGGTTTCACCGGGCAAAGGACAACAATTCAAAGTTAACGCAATGGTCTCTCCAACTCGCAAACTTGGATTTCCACACGATACATATATATGGCGTGCAAAACGAGGGACCAGACATGTTATCACGGAATCCTGTCAAAGGCCCATCCGTAGATGAGGATCAGCTTGAGGGTACCCACTTCACCACCCACAAACAATACTAACTCCCCCGCTGATAACATCTTCGCCACAATCGAAACGGTCGACGTACTTGCCGACGTCCCGTTTTCCATCACAACCTTCGCGTCTTGGCAATCCAACGACCCCCAGACGTGAGACATCATCAACGTAGCTAAGTCGACACACCTGCACGTAACACCAGAAGCGCCACGAAAGATACGGACAATTTTGTCCTATCGGATGGTCTCCTGCGGCAAAACGTCAAGGGCCACTTATCAATCGTGATATCCAAAACCCAATCCCAACAGGTAATCTGGAGGTATCACGACCATATCATGGCTAGTCACCCAGGGTGGAAGGAAACTTACCGGGCAGTCAGGGACCGTTTCTATTGGAAGGGACTTAAAAACGACGTGAGGCTGTATGTCAAGTCATGTCACATATGTGCATGCACTAAACCACTCAACTCACGGTCGAATGACCCCACCAACTCCAGGAAACCTCGACATCCCTGGGAGGTTATTAGTATAGATTTAATGGGACCCTATCCTCGCACGAGTAAAGGAAAATCCTATAACTTGGTAGCCACGGACTGCTTTAGTAGATGGACCGAGGTATACCCGCTCGGAACAGCCACTACTAAAAACATTACCGAAACACTCAAACGAGAATTTTTCTCACGTTTCGGCTACCCCCGCGTGTGTCTCAGTAACAACGGCCCCCAGTTCGAGTCAAACGACATGCTTAACGCATTTTAACGATGGGGGGCGGAAGGTTGAACCACCCCAACCTATCACCTGAGAGCCAACCCGGTCGAGCGCCGCAATCAGGACTTAAAGAAAGGACTACGCGCGGCATTCACCAACGGCAAACACACCACCTGAGACACAAAGTTAACCCCTATCTTATTCGCTATTCGAAACCAGCGCAATGTACAGACAGGATATCCACCATCGGTGTTAGTACTCGGACGTAAGTGCAAAAGACCGGGAATTGAACCTTAAAATCTGACTCACGTACGCAGGTCGAACCAATAAACAGGGATAGACTTAAGCGGGAAGTAGAAATCACAGGCAGACACAACCGAAACATAGTGGCCGAGAAATACAAATTTTCGGAGGGAGATATGGTATTATATAAAGCCCACCAATTGTCCAAGGCTCACAAGGGATTTCATGCGGTATTCGCACCAAAATAGTGGGACTCCGTAAGGCTGGAAAAGCGGGTTGGTAAAGAAGTTTTCCTAACTGATCAGCTACGTATCCTGCCCAAAACCCGCATACAATTAATTATACACACGATTGGGCGTTTCTCAGCATCACATCCAGCAACCATCTACATCCAGTCACCACCATGGACACCACCAAGGTTGTTGCGATGTTGGACCAGATGAAGGAGTCAGTCATGGCGCAAAAATCGATGGGGTGGTCCAACTTTGTGGACGACGTCCGAAAAGCGGGAGTCGCCCAACTGCGGGCTGAGCCGCTCCTCTGGGCAGCCTACTGCCGAGGGTGGGCCGACCGGATCACGGATTTAGTCAGGTCGCTTGAGTCCACGGCGGCGAAGACACCGGATACCCCGCCATCGGCGAAGCCGTCGCGCTCTTCCACTCAATGCAGGGTCACAACATCCAAGGCGACAACGTCCGAGGCGGGAGACCGATTACCGGTGCCACATCAGCCGGCCATACAACATCGGCACTCGTACTACACCAGCCACCGGTACCACACCGGCAGCACACGGCGCCCCATCGGACACAGCTCCACCACGGCAACACACCTCCCTCACGCTACCACGACGCTCGATGACGTGGTTGAAATCGGCTCCGGGACGCCCATTGGTACCCAAGATGTCACCAGCGGACCCGCATCCTCCAACAATGGAGTGAACGGGGATCCCGAACCGCGTGGCGTACGTGGACCACCTCCTGCGCCTCCCTCCGACAAACTAGGACCATTGAAGCCCAGGCCAAAGTCAGCGAAGCCGACAACACCATCAACCACAACACGGTCGGCAGAACGGGCCAAGGAGCGGAGGAGGGAGCATCAACGGCAGAGGAGATTGCGGGCAGAAGCCAAGAAGGAAGGTCTGAGTCAGCAATACCGGCTGACAAAGACGACACCCTCGGCTGGGTCGGCCAGGAATACCGGCCGGAGCCAGACACCAACCCGGGGGAAGCGAGATGGAGGTCGATGATCGAATCCTCGACGAACCCGGATCACCACTCCCAACATTTCCGGACATCGAGGAAGGCC